TTGATAAAACTTATTGCTTTTAAACAGCTGCTGTATTAAGATTTTTCTTGACAATGAAGGCTGATAGTTAAGGTTGCACCTTTTCTGTTAAAATGAAGTCAATATTCCATAACCTCAACTAGAATTTTCTGGCTTCAAAATCTCTGGGGTACCTTTCAAATTTAGTGTCAGCCTTCTCTTTTTCCAAATATATTTTTCATTTATGTTTATAGATTTGTATGAAATATAGATGTATTTTTTTCCACTAATGTAAATGTCTTTTTAAAAGTCTTAGACTGATGGTTTAGCTATTTAATATTCACACTATCTAGCATACCTGAAAGAAGAGAAAATTTTACTAGAACTTTTAAGTCTTTTTAGGATAAACTAGCAAAGCACAAGTTCCTCAAATGCAAGAAGGGCTTGCCTGCTGGAAACACTTGTGGTTCTCCTGTCCATGTATTCTAAGTGAATCCATATGTGGTGTGTCTTGCTGCAACCACAAAAAACCCCTTCAGTTTCACTAGGGGGCTCTAGCAGTGTGTCAAAGGGAGTTGGAAATCTAACTCGGATATATCTTTTTCTACCATTCATAATAATTCATATTCATTTCTACAACAGCAGAACAAAGTAGTGCAGCACTACTTTGCTAAGATTCCAGAAGAGCTGTATTATCTACCCCTACACTTGAGTACGAGATGTAAGTTGAGTGAGATGTTTACACCTATTTCCTTTTAGATGTGTGAGTTGGTCAAGACTGGGCACTGCTTTTCTGTCCTGGGTATTCTCCTCAACACAACAGAACTTGGCATTAAAGAGGATCAGGAAGCACGTGCTCAGCTGAGTCTGAAATTACCCATTTAGTAGCACTGAGATAACACCTATATACAGGCAGTGGTGGGTGAGAAGCAGGCAGAAATGACCTCATGCAAGCCTGCCTGTCCCAAAGGACTATTGCCAATTAGTGTCTTGATTATCAGAGTTATAGAATTGGCAGTCCTTGATTTTCTACCTTGGGAAACACTGGAATTAAAATTGTTCAGCAGAACTTTGGCATGAGTATTTGGTTAGTTATTTCAACCTCTAAACTCTTTAGCCTTGAAAGTTCAAGTAAGTTCATGTTCAAAGGATCTCTTAAAAATACACAGCTAAAAGTTAAAGGACTAGCTGGAGATTCCAATTTCTAAGGATTATTTCCTGTTTACTTTACATACGAGCTAGTTTCACATTTCATCTTGGAGGCGGGACTCAGCTGTCTGCAGAGGACATATTTTGTTCCCTTAGACTCACGTAGGCAAAGGCAAGATGAACTCCCAGGTCTATTTGCTCAAAAGGTAGAGCAACAACCAGGAACTAGAGAAAGGCGACCGGCGAGAGGGACACTGAACACAGCACAAGGAACTTCTTTGTTCAAGAGCGTAGGAATGAAAACACTGAAACTGCTGTGGTATTTTGGATATTATCCAAAACAACAGAGTCGCTAGTGAGAAAATGAAAACTGATATATTTCAGTTGGACAGTTTGTACTTTTTTATGCTACATTCATGCACAACAATCAAAGGCAAGAATCTGGAGTCCTTACTCAGCCTCGCTTCTCACCAAAGCAGGGGTTTTACACTATTTATGAAATAAGAAACATTTTTGTTGTTGCATTTAAAGACTGACAGATTACATTAAGCCATAGGCCAGAGGAAGGAAGACAGAAAAAAATTATAAGGGCATTTGTTAAGACATTGACCTTTCTAAAAGGGCCCTAAGGGCTTGGGAAATGTCCAGAGTTCTCCCAAATGCAGTTTATCATGATCAATAGCAGGTTTTTTCATATGCTACTCAGCTTGCACCCTTCATGCTGCCACTGGCATGTTCTCTGTGCAGCTATTATGCAGAAAGTATTCCAGACTGCAAATAGTATCTATCTAGGCACTCACAGTACTTATAGCCACTCAGTTCTACTTGCAAGTAAAAGAATGTAAGCGTAAAACCAAAGTGCACGTAGACTATTAGAGTATTTCTGTTGGTTCACAAAAACAGAAAAATTGCCTTTAAAGAGGAGGAGTGCTTGTATTATTTGTAAAAAAGATTAAATTCAAAGTTTCACACAAATGTCATTGTTAAGAAATATGAAAGTTATCTATATAAGAATTGACTAAACAACACATTTTTCAAAGTTTTTTTCCTGAACCATCAAGACAGCCTTTGGGGACTACAGGAAAAACAAACTAATATTGCAAATGTTATAAATCCCCAGACTAACTCTTATCCCATTTATGTTTTGATTCTGTAATCGCTATCCATCTACCCTTATCCTGAGGCAGCAATGAAATACAAGACTTCTTTCAAGTAGGGATGAGTGAGTGCTGTACTTTGAAAGCTACAGTTGACTAAATGGAGCCCAGACTGCCATCAGGGCATCAAATGTTAGGCCAATATGAGTTCAATCTCACACTGCCCATGTGACTGTTTTTTCTCATGGAATGTAATTTTAGTTGTTATTTACTTTTAAGGAGATGACAAAAGTAAGAAGATAAACAAGGTTGGGGAATGGAAAACAATGTATGCAAATACTTTCCAGGTGAGATAGATATAGATATAGATATAGATATAGATATAGATATAGATATAGATATATAATTGCTATCTGCTAGGGTCAGAGGTTTATCTGATTGTAGTTAAACAAGCTACAGAAGGAACTGGAGATACAATCTTTTACTCTAGTAGGATTTTTTTTAATCCACCAAATAAATGGATACAGAAAGCACACATGCACACACATCAGGAAAATTTGGCTGAAATAGATATATAACAGGAAATAAAGGAGTAACATCTCAGGCAGGCCAACCTACTGCAGGAGATTCCACTGAAGAAAGATCATGGTATTTAAATCAGTGGGCAGGCAGGTGTCAAAGAACACAAGACGGGCAGGCAGAAGAGGGTCAGGCAGAAGAGAGACAGGCAGACAGGGTGGTAGTGCCATGTGGCACTGCTCTTCCCTCCTGTCGACAAGCTTTCTAGCGTGGGAGAAAACTGTCCTGTCTGTGTGCAGCAGGCTGAAAGAAAACCTCCTTTGTCTCCTCTATAGCACAGTCCTGCCTATTTTTCCATCACGAGGGACACTACGTGGTGTTAAATTATACATAAGTATCAAGTAGGACTTTCTGTCGGAAATGAAAAGCTAATCATCCAGTAACATGATTTAGTGGATACTTATAATCAAAACAAAGAATTAACCAGCAGCATTTGAGCAATTCAAACTGTGCTTTCTGTATGAGTTCATCTCTACTCACAAGGAATAATAGAGGCTTCATAAAATATTCTCTTTCCTGTAATATTTATCTGTACTGGTTTCCAGTGGAACACCACGTGCCGCAACCAACCACCTCATAAAATATTATGAAGTAAAGTAGTGGCAATTTAGATAATAACATGGCAAACTAAGTTACAAGAAGAAACAAAAAGCTAACCAAATAAGAAAGTTCCCAGTTTCATCAGCTCACAGGGTTACCAGAACTCATGCCTTCAACTTTGTCAACTTCATCATAATCTTTTCTTCATTTTTTACCAAGGGGTAAATAAATACCTCCAGCTACCACACCAAAATTCTTCTTCTAGTACTGTAGAAAAATGCTTTGCTGAACATTGTCAAATAAAACTCAAACCCATACACACAAAAACAGGGATTGGTAAAATACCTAGGTTTTTCTTTTAGAAAGGAAGCCTTTCTGCAAGGATCAGAAATTCTTTACTTTTACAAGTTTGATAACTCATCATATACACACATGTCTAAGATTTTGTGTGGTCTGCAATTAAATCCAAATACTAGAATATAGGGTCGATGTTAACTGTTAATTTGTTTGATACAACTCATCTCTCTACGAGGAACACAGCAGTAGCTTTACTCCTTTGAGACCGAAATTTCTACTAGGGTTGGAGAGAGGCACAGCACACAGCACTGCAGTAGTGGGAACTGGACTTCTAGGAGACAGGCAATCCCACATTATGGCCATTGCCTGGTGAGGAAAAACTGAAGAACTTGACTCCAAAGAACTGAGGGATGTGGAAGGTGGTTTCAAATAGGGATCAGAAGTCTGTGCTACTAAGCAGGTAAGCAGTGTAATTGTAACCACGTAGTATAACTGACCAGAGGCTAGTCTACTCTGTCAAAATATTTGAACACAAGTATGAATAAAAACCCCACCTTGAATTAGACACCTTAATTTCAATTTTTTTCATTCCTCATATAAGTCAATGTGCTGATGCTTATGAGGAGTACACATTTGAGTATTGATTAATGACCCAATTAAGTGGATCCATACCTGAGAAAGCAACAAAAGGTAGGATATGAAAGTAAAGCAAACTGTGCATACTGGGATTCAGCACATTGCTTCCTTCTGGTCCATGGCTAGTATTTAGGGAAAGTACCTCAAAACTCTTCTGTGAGGTAAACAAAAAATAATCTGCACTGCTTCTAATGAATGTTGGTAGAAGAGTAATGCAGCTTTAAGCAGTAGTTATAGAGTGATGAAAGATGACAATTTACACGGGGGAAAAAAAAAAGCTGACTGGTCAAATCACAAAGCAGATTCAGATTTGGCAGGGACTCTAAGACAACTGTGCTTTACCCTCTTCCAGTACTTGAAATGCATTACTGAAGCATTGAGGATGCTTTAAAGCACATACAACTACAAAGGACTTTTTTGATGGATAAACATATACGGGAGGGGT